GCATCATATGCAGTCTATTCAGGCGATGGGCTGTTATTCGGCCTTACAGAGGAAGGATGGGCAGGCCTGGTGATCCACACCTGGAAGGCTGAGGCAGGAGGGTTGCAAGTTCCAGCTCAGCCTGGGCAACTTAGTGACTTAGCAAGATTCTGCCTCAAAATACAAAATAAATTTTAAAAGGCTGGGGATGTAGCTCAGTGCAAAGGCCCTGGATTCAGTGTCCAGTACTGGAAAAAAAAAAGTCAGATCTGATATTTGAAAAAAAACAAAAAAGTGACTATGGTAACTTTTGTTATATATATTTTGCCACAATTTTTGTTTGTTTTTGTTTTTAGTACCAGGGGTCAAACTTGGGTTCTTATGCTTGCGAGGCAGGCAACAGAACCACTGAGCTAAATCCCCGGCCCATTTTGCCACAATTTTTTAAAGTTTCTGGGGAAGGCCCAGGATTTAGCTCAGTGGTTCTGCCACCTGCCTCGAAAGCACAAGGTCCTGAGTTCCATCCCCGGTACCAAAAAAAAAAAAGTTTCTGGGGAAAAGTGGAAGGGAACAGAGCTGGCCCAGGTAGAAGTGGAAGGAGGCAGTAAATAGGTAAAAGCGGATGTGTGTGTGTGCGTACGTGTGTGTGTGTGTGTGTGCTGGGGATTGAACCCAGGGCCTTCACACTGAGCTACATCCTTCCCCCCTTTATTTTTTTATGTTGAGGCAGAGTCTAAGTCACCCAGGCTGGGCTTGAACTTGAGATCCTCCTGCCTCAGCCTCCTTCAGCGCTGGGATTACAGGTATGCGCCACCATGCCCGACTAAAAGCAGACGTTCTGATGAGGTGAGAGCCAGGGGACAGCAGAGGAGGGGGCTGGGCCGAAGGAGCCAGGAGTGAGGCCCTGTGGAGGGTGAGGGCTCTGCAGGCAGAGGAGCAGGGCTGAGGGCAGAAGGGGCTGGGGCTCCCCGGTTCACTCACTGCCAGAAGGTGCTGCTGCACCAGGCAGGAGCCTGGCCGGCCAGGGCGCACAGGGACGCGTAGGCCTGCAGGGAGCTGCACGGGGCCAGGGCGTCGCCCTTGGTCCCACATTGGCCCTGTACACAGCTGGCGAAGCTGGCCTGCGGGGGCACCAGCCGGTGGCAGTTGGAGAAGGGCCCTGGAGGATGGGGAGGGAGAAGGGTGAGCCCGGAGCTTCCCAGGTTGGTTTGTTTAGTTACTGATTGACTTTTGCAGGTCTGGGGATTGAATTGAGGGCCCCGTGCTCACTAGGTAAATGCTCCAGAGTGAATTACATCTCTAGCATTTTATATTTTATTTTGCGACTGGGTCTTGCTAAGTTGGTCAGGCTGGGCTCAACTGTGCGACCCTCCTGCCTCAGCTTTCGGAGTAGCTGGGATTACAGGCATGCGCCACCACCTCCAGGCCCAGGGAGGAGGACCAAGCTTGGCAGTGGGGCTATGTCTCACCTAGAGGGTTCACCAAGATCTCACAGTCCTTACTCCACATGTCCTCCGTGTTGTCCTCTGAGCAGCTGGAGGGCTCAGCGCCCCCCAGGAAGCAACTGGGAGGAAAGGAGAGAAACAAGCTGGGGAACCATCCCCCAAACGGTAGGGGTGCCAGAGAAGAGATGGAAACAGTGCCCTCAAGCAGGAAGGCTAGGGAGTGCAGCCGGAAGGAGCAAGGCTAGCTGGCAGGAAGACTTCCTGAGTGGGCTTGCCAATGGGGTCATTAAGCATGGGAGAACAGGCTTTTCAAAATTTAGCCAGGGCCGGGCACGGTGGTGCATGCCTGAAATCCCAGCACCCTGGGAGGCTGAGGCAGGAGGATTGCAAGTCTGAACCTTACCTGGGCAATTTAAGTGACTTAGTGAGACCTTGTCTCACAATAAAATTTTTAAAAAGGCTGGTGTAGCTCAGTGTGAAGGTCTTGGGTTCAATCCCCAGTACCACAAAATAAATTTTAAAAGAGAGAGAGAGAAGCAAAGCAAAATGAAAAAACACAATAAAAAATTCCCAACCTCAGAGCATCAAGAGGAGACCCCTGGCTGGTTTCCTGGCAGTGCGGGGTACAGCACGGAGGGAGCAGGGGCTTGGGAGACAGACACCTCCAGGCCACCCCCGAGGCTCTGCCAGTGATCAAGCTGCTCCTGCCCAGGTCCCCAGCTCACCCAGGCTCGGAGCCTCCTGAGGACCGCCAGGCGGCCCCCAGCTGAGAGGCGCTGCCCACAGGTTTCCCATCTGGGCGCAGATTGTCATTCATGCTGTTGTTGTAGTTCCCTGCAGGGGCGGGCAGTGGACAGAGGAGACAGAGGTGCCACTGGTGCCCCCAGCTCAGGGCCACCCCCACCCCCCACCCCCGACCAGAACAGGGACTTCTCACTGACGTCCCCTCTGCGCACTCGAGCTTTCCTTTTTCTCTTTTTCAGTAGTGGGGCATTGAACTCAGGCCCTTCACACTGAGCCACATCCCGAGCCCTTTTTTATGTTTTATTCTGAGACAGGGTCTCACTAAGTTGCCCAGGCTGGGCTCCGATTTTCTATCCTTCTGTCTCAGCCTCCCAGAGTGCTGGGATTACAGGCCTGCACCACCAAACCCCGCATCTCCAGCTTCCCTGAGCTCCTGCGCTCACACCCAGTGTCCCCAACTGATCCATCAGTAGATGGGCAGTTAGGACACACAGTAGAGTTGGGAGGAGGTGCAGGACACAGCCTCATGTGCCCCTTGTCCCTGCTTCTCCCGGGGGTGCTCAGGGAGCTCACCACAGAGCCCGCAGAGCTGGCCAGCATAGGAGGATGGTACTGTCACTTCCACCAGGTGGTTCCCATTGTAGCGAACCTGAAGCCCAGAGTTTGTGTAGAGCAGGATAAAGGAGCCACTGAGCCTAATGGCCACCCAGCCTTTCGACAGCCACACAGGTAGGTTCACCCGAAGGCCGTTCAGCTGTACAGATGGGGGTGGGGGAGACGATGGGGAGAGTCAGGCACTTGGGACACCGACCAAATAGGGGCAGAAATCTGGGGTAGGCTGGGTGTGGTGTGCATGCCTGTAGTCCCAGCACTCTAGAAGGCTGAGGCAGGAGGATCTCAAGGTGATCCTAGACTGGGCAACTTAGAAAGACTGTCTCAGAGTATGGGATGGAGAGGTAGTCAGTGCCAAGGCTTTGGGTTCCATCCCCAGTACTACAGAAGCAAAGAGGCAAGACCTGGGGGAGGAGGGGTGGTGGGTGTTTCATGGAGGAAGAGGGGTGCAATGTATCCCCAGGGGCTCTAAGAGGCTGACAGCTGTGTGTACAGACAACACAGTGGGCTGCCTGGGGTCTGGGAGGCAGGGAGTGGCACATACCACAACCCTGCAGCCTTTGATCAGTGAAATCTTGAGGTCGAAGACCTGCACGTGGACAGCTTTGACATAGGAGGCCTGCAAGTCCCCATCTCGAATCTCACTGGTGGTGCTCACAACAAAGTGGTTCTCCAAGTACTGGGACAAGCAAGGCTGGGTCAAGGTGTAGGTACAGGTGCCCAGGAAGTGGTGCAGGGCTCCATCAAATGTTAGGTAGTGGGGGTCACCCAAGGCGGTGCAGGTGGCAGAACCTGGGGAGGAGAGGACAGGCTTCAGAGTCTCAGTGCCTTGCACCCCGGAAGCCCTAATCCAGGGCTTCCATCTGGCCAGCCTATGTCGGATGGCACCCACGGCCATCCCGGATGTGGTGTTTCCCTAGAAAGCATGGTTGGTTTTGCTTGGGGATGTCAAGGAAGGGGACTGCTCTATCCAAAGCCCCTCTTTGAGGCCTTAAAGATGCTGCTCCGGAGGCCTTGGTCGCTGGGAGCCTGTCTGTGGAGGGGCTGTGCCCTGGTCTTTCTTTCTCTGCTTCATGTCCTAGCCATGAGGCGAGTGTCTGCCATGTGTTCTGCACCCTTATGGTTTAGATCAAAAATGTCCCCCAAGGCCTCATGGCTTATAGGGGGGCTTGTGGAAGGTGACCGAATCACGGGGGCTTATCTCTGACTTGCTGTTAGGAGATGGGTCTGGCCTGAAGAGGTGATCACTGGGGGGCGGGAGGGCCTGGAAGGGTTCATCTCCCTCCTGGGCTCCTCCCTTCTCTCCGCTTCCTGGCTGCCCTGAGGTGAGCAGTTTTCCTCAGCCAGGCCCTCTGCCATGCTGTTTCCTGCCTGGGAGCTGGCTGGCTATGGGCTAAAAATGTGAGGCAAAATAAACTTCCCCTCCTTTAAATTGTCTGAAACCTCTAGAACTGTGAGCCAAAGTAAACCTTTTCTCTTTATAAACTGATGGATCTCCAGTATTTGTTATCATCATGGAAAGCTAACTAACACACAGCCCCCGGGGAAGCTGCTTCCGGCAGAGCCTTCCCCCTGCTGAGGGCCCTCAATCACCTTCCCCTTGACCACTCACCTTGGCCATAGCAGCCATACTGGCCATTCTGGTGGCCACAGGCCTCCTGGGCCTGACACCTCCAGGACTGGCAGTGAATGTGGTTGTTGCCTCGGCAGACACAAAATTCTTTGCAGCCTGGCTTGTACCACCACTCCCCCAGTTGAGAGAAGAAAGGAAAGCAGCTTTTCCCAGGGAGACAGAGTCCACTGAAATTCTGCTGTCCAGCACTCACCGACTCATTCCCCAGAGCATTTCTTTGTTCATTTACTATTTTGGCTGATGTTTATTTGTCTGTATAATGAACTAGATGGAAAAATCTCTCTTTCCTAGAAATTCTCCCTCTGTCCTTCCTTCCTTCCTTCCCTCCTTCCTTCCTTCCTTCCCTCCCTCCTTCCTTCCTTTTGTGATACTGGATATTGAACCCAGGGCCTTTTCAATGAGCTACATCCCAGCCCTTTTTAATTTTTATTTTGAGACAGTCTTGCTAAGTGCCTAATCTTCTCAGGCTGGGCTTCAACTTGCAATCCTCCACCCTCAGCCTCCCAGAGGGCTGGGATCATAGGCAAGCATCACCACCCCTGACTTCTTGAGATGTTTTCTGACTTGGTTCATCAGAAAGGCTCCAAGGAAGAGGGAGCATTTCAAAAGGGCCCCAAGGGATGTGACAGATTCCAACGGGCAGAGGTGGCTGAGGCAGCACAGGTCACACGAAAGGGGTTGATAAAGAATCCAGAGCACCGGCTTTGAGTGTGGCTCAGTAGAGCACTTGTTTAGAATGAAAAAGCCCCGGGTTCCCACTCCAGCACCAAAAAAAAACAAAGAGAAAGGAAAGTCAGAGCCTGGCCCTCAATCACCTGGATTGTCCTGCCTTCTCCCTCCTGCCTCTCTTCCTGGTGTAGAAAGTGCAGGCCCCAGGCCCAGGCCCAGGCCTCAGAAGTGAGTCCTTTCTGTCTCCAGGGCTAAGAGAATCACCCCAGCCACTGACCTTGAAGTAGCTCCCTGAGGGGCTGAGGCACCTGCACTGGGCCCAGGGGACACACTCGAGGCCGCTGAGGATGAAGCCCCAGTTGCACTCACAGGCTTCCACACAGTGGCCCGGGCAGGGCTTGTTGGAAAAGGCTGCACGGCAGGTGTCCGAGCATGCGCTGGGCTGGCGCACAGGGAGTACCTGCTATTTCGAGGGCAGGCCAGGGCTAGAGACAGGGAGGGAGATACTCAGGTGAGAAGCAGACAGGTGGGTTGGGGGAAGAAAAGAGAGGACAGGGGTGGTGTGCACCTGTAATCTCAGCATTTTGGGAGGCTGAGGCAGGACGATTGCAAATTCAAGCCTAGCCTGGGCAACTTACCCTACCAAGATCCTGTCTCAAAATAAAAAATAAAAAAAGAGTGTGAGGGATGTAGCTTAGTGTAAGACCCTGGGTTCAATCCCCAATACTGCAAAAATAAATAAGTAAAATATAATACATAAATGAATGCAAGCCTTTTGAGTTTGCAAGTGACTGTGTGATCTTCTCAAGGATGTTTCCAGTTCTGCCCTCTGCCCTGGCCTCATGTGACAGTGTGGGGGAGGCTTCGACATGTGCACCACCTCGCCTGGCTTCAATGCCAACTTTATTTATATTTGACGCTGGACCGCATCCAGGCTAAGTGCACACCCCACTGCTAAGCCACACCCCGCACCCCCATCAAGCCCTTTATTTGGGGCGGAGGACCAGAGATCGAACTCCATACCTTGTGCTTTCGAGGCAGGCGCCAGAACCACTGAGCTTAATCCCCACCCTGCAAGCCCATTTTTTATGCCCATTCTGTGTCTGAAAGAAAGGTCCCACATCTTCTCCCCCGCTTCCAGGCCCAACTCACGGCAGAACTGGGGTCCCCTCCAGGGCTTCACGGGGTAGCCAGCATCCTGGCAGGCTGCGGTCATGGCTGACAGGTGGGCGCACAACATCACCGGGAACCCCTGGTAGCTGCACAGGTCTGACATACAGTTGTTGAAGAAGGAAGAGGCCTTCAGGTGCAGCAGGCAGGCCCTGGGCAAGAGGCCGGGTGAGTGGGAGGGGCGCAGTCTCCCATCCCCTGGGGTCCCCGCACCCCCTGCCCTCTTTCATACTCAAACGGTCCTCAGGAGTCCACCAGGCCGCTGCAGAACCTGGGCCCCGATATAGTGCTCTTCAAGGCCGCTTCACAGGATGGGAAATCTGCCCAGTTCTGCAGGCACCTAGAAGGCACACAGCCAGCGGTCAGGGCCAAGGCTGGGGCCTCCCAGCCAGCAGCTACTCAGGCACCGCTGAGAGGACACTGGAACCCTGAGTCCAGAGGGAGGGGTACCTGGAGGCTCCAGGGAGGCAAAGGGAAAAGGGCATTTTTAGTCAGTTGTGGTTTCTTTGCTTTTTGAGACAGGGTCTCACTCTGTTGCTCAGACTGGCCTCGAAGTCGTGGGCTCAAGCGATCCCCCTGCCTCAGTTTCCCCAGTAGGCTGTAGTGGGTCTCAGAAGGTGGCAAAGGCCAGGAGGGTGGAGAAGGGGACCAGGTCACCCCGTGAGGGTTCCTCATTTACTCCCTGTCCTCACCCTCAACCACCTGCCAGCTATTCCCCAGCTCCTCATCATCCCGTGCTGGGTTACCATCGGCTCCAGGTTGTCGTTGCTGCTCTCCCCATCATAGTTGCCACAGAAACCAAACTGCAGAGTTTGCCTGCATAGGTGCTGTGGGGCCGGGAGAGGGGATGGTGTGAGTGGAGGAGGAGGTGCTCAGTCTCCCGAAGGACCCCAATGCAGGAGGATGCAAGGGAGATTAAGAGACACCTACTTCCGCCAGGCATGGTGGTGCACGCCTGTAATCCCAGCAGTCTGGGAGGCTGACGCAGGAGGATCCCAAGTTCAAGCCTAGCCTGGGTGGGCAACTTAGTGAGTTCAAAATAAAAATATAAAAACGGGCTGGGGGTGTAGCTCAGTGCAAAGGCCCTCAGCTCAATCCCAAGTTCTTCAATAAAGGGGGAAAAGGCGGCTACTCCGGACATAGGCTCCATGCTAGGTACTGGGCACATGAGGACTTTGTGGCCTTTACCCTGAGCCATCCCTATGGTCTCTCTCGGCCCCTTCTGCTTTACCATGTGTTTGCCCAGCCATAAATCACCCCAAGCTGACCCTAAGTCACTCCAGCTGGTTTGGATAAAGTCTGTCCATTCCCTGAAGAATGGGTCTGAGGCAGAGTCCATGTGTGACTCAGTACAGGCCCAAGGTGCTCTATCCGTCCTGCCGTCTGCCTCCCTATCCCAAGGAAGCTCAGAGCTTTCTGCCCCTCTTAAGGACCCTACATGGCTCAGCATTAGTGCCTGGAAGGGAAGGTTAAAGGGCAGGCACGGGTCCAGATGGGGTGCGGAGCTCAGAACACGGCAGCTGCCCAGCAGGGCCGTCCCTCACCTGGACTCTGTCACAAACAGCTGCTGCTGGCTGTCCCATCTCACACGTAGGCCCAACGCTGTCTGCAGCTCCACAAATTGCCCACTTGGACCCACAAAGACACCTTTAGCAGGCATGGCTGGCAGAGTGACTCGATGGCCCTCAACCTGGCAGAGGCAGGGGCAGGAGAAGGGAACAGACACTGATCTGGGGGCCAAGGAGGACCCAGGACACAGCACGCCAGGTGGGTCTGTCCTTCCACAGGCGTGAGCGGGGATGGGTGCACCACTGTGCATCGCCCGGAGCAGTGTGACCGTGGTCTCCAGCAGGGTCACATAGACTTTGCTCAGGCAGGACACACCTTCCTGTCCCTATTCCTCATTGTTTGCTGTCACCCTGAAGAATGGCTCTGGGTGGGAAGAGAAGAGAGCCCAGGGACACATTCAATGAGCTTTTGTTTGTTTTCCCAGTACTGGGGCTTGAACCCAAGGCCTTTCCACTGAGCTACATCCCCAGACCTTTTTAATTTTAATTTTATTTTGAGATAAGGTCTCCCTAAGTCACTAATTTGTCCAGGCTGGGTTCAAATTTGGGATCCTCCTGCCTCAGCCTCCCAGAGTGCTGGGATCACAGCCATGCACCACCATGCCCGGCTGACAAATAATAGGTTATACTGCATTTTCCCTGGTGGTCTGGGCCTGAGAGTCTGCCTCTGGGGCAACATTGAAACCTCTGCCTTACAGAGGACCTTGCTTCACTGTGACCTCTTGTACCCATCTGCTCCCGTCCAGGCTCTGCCACCCACAGTTGCCCTACACCTGGCACTTCTGACTGCACACCCTGCCCCCAGGCAGTGGCTGGCACCCGAAGGCCTTACCTGTGGAGTTGCGGCAGGACTGGGCCAAGATGTACGTGCATTTGCCCGTGAAGCCAAAGTGCCTCTCATCAAAGGTGACATAATGAGGGTCTCCGTACACCAAGCAAGTGGCAGTGCCTACCCAGGAGACAGGAGGACCCAGAAGCTGCTTCCACGGCCACACCAGGGTGGACCCACATCCCTGCTCTCCTGCCTGCCTCCTCCACTCCACGGAGGGTGAAAGACCCTGGTATCGAAGCCCTGGATAGCAGACAGGGAGGCACTCGCTGTACGGGGGGCATCCGTACTGGTCATTCTTCAGCTGGCACATAGTGTGTCCCACACTGAGAGAGCTGGCACTCCACTCAACCACCTGGCCAGCAGCAGCAATGCTCTGCACAGTTTTGGCTGAACCATTGCTCCCCAGGCTGGGAGTGAGGGATCCAGAGTCACAAAGCCATGTCTCTCAGGCCTTCTGTGTCCAGTCTCCATCTCCTCCTCTGAGTCCTGTGCACGCCTAAGCTCACTCCCATGCCTTTTTCCCACCACCAACCTGACAGTGCCACTGCCACAGGACATTTGCATGTGCTACTCTCTTATCTCCACATGTTTTTCCCTCCCTGTTTTTCCAATTTATTCCCCAACAACCAGCAGCGGTCAGCTCAAGGGCAGCTGTCTCGGGAAGATGTCTCAGGCCTCCCTGACTAGGTCGCCCTCTGCTCTGGGGACCGTCCTTCCAAGGACTGACCTACCACAACAGCACTTGTAGATTTATTTTTGTGATTGGCTGTAAGCATCCAGGTGGGGACCATGTCTTTACTCCCTGTCTTGACCTCAGCATGTGGCAAGAGACAACTCTCATTCAATAAGAGGGATTCAGTGAAGACCCAGCGTGCCCCTCTGAGCCTGAAAGGATGCATGTGTTTGTGTATTTATTTATTTGCAGTACTAGGGATTGAACCCAGGACTTCTACACTGGGCTCCATCTCCAGTTCCACCCCACTCCTCCTTTTTCTTTTTTCTTGAGACAGTCTTGCTATGTAGTCTAAACTGGCCTTGAACTCATTAGGTAGCCCAGGCTGGCCTCAAAACTATGATGATCCTTCTGCCTCAGCCTCCCAAGTACTGGGATTACAGGTGTTCGTCACCATGCCCAGCTTTTTGGTTTTTTTGGTGCTGGGAATCAAACTCAGGACCTTGCGCTTATGAGGCAGGTGGCAGCACCACTGAGCTAAATCCCCGGCCCTTTTTTTTTTTTTGAGACCGAGTTTTGCTATATCACTAAATTCCCCAAGCTGGGCTCAAACTATCACTCTTCCTGCCTCAGCCTCCTAGACTGCAGAGATTACAGACATGCACACCCCCCCCTCCAATCTGGCTGAGAGCATTAGGAATGCAAGATTCATACCCTATCTATGAGGAGGCTATTGCCAGGAAGGTATAAAGTGTTACATGACAAACGATTATTGGACACACTGACGGATATGGAAGTTAACTCCGCCTCCCCAGGTGGAGGGAAGAGAGCCCTCATGCTGGGATTATGCCGCTCCCTGCCCAGGCTGCACTGAGCTGATCCTAGCAGCAACTCTGCACCCCAGGAGATGGGTCAGAAGGGCTGGGGAGGAACTGGTCCCTGGAGAGATCTCCAGAAGCTCTGCCAACAGAGGGGAGGACAGACACCTGCAGCTGAGAGGTGGCTCTGGACACTAATGAGTAGCTTAATGCACTTTTAATGAACAGGTTGTATATTATGTTTATCACAAATCATTAATGATAACAATGAATGTTTATTAAGTAATTAGCACTGTGTTAGGATCTAATTTCACCCAGACAGCAATCTTATATGAGGCAGAAAATCTTACCGTGCACCTTTTTATAGATATGGAAACAGTTAAAGAAATAAAGAGCCAAGTGTGGTGGCACATGCCTATAATCCCACCCCTCTGGAAGGCTGAGGCAGGAGAAGAGCAAATTCAAGGCCAGCCTGGGCAGCTCAGCCACTCAGCCACAAAATAAAACATCAAAACAGGTGAGGATGTAGCTCAGTGTGAAGGCCTTGGGTTCAATTCCCAGTGAGGTAAAGTAACTTGCCCAAGTCCACCTGGCAAATGGATGCTGCAGCCCACACTCAAACCCAGGTCTGCTGGGTGTAGATCTGTCCATTATCCTGGCCACCAGCCACCAGCCAGTCCATGGGGGACTGCTAAGCTTTTGAAATGTGGCCCATCCAAAATGACAAATGCTGGGCCAGGGATTTAGTTCAGTGGTTCTGCTGCCGGCCTCGCAAGCTCAAGGTCCCAAGTTCGATCCCCGGTACCAAAAAAAACCCCCCCAAAAACCCAAATGCTCAATGTGTAAAATACAGGTTGGATTTTTGAAGATTTAGTATGATGCAAATGTAAACTATCTCATCAGTAATTTTTTCCCGTATTAGGCATTGAGCCCTTTCCATTGACCTACATCTCTACGCGCCCCACACCCCACCCTTTTGGTCTTTTGAGACAGGGTCTCACTATGTAGTTCAGGCTGGCCTTGAACTCTTTTGACAATCCTCCTGCCTCAGCCTCCTGAGTGCTAGGATTACATGCATGTGCCATCATGCCTGGCCCCAGGCCTTTTTTATTTTTTATTTTACAACAGAGTCTCAGTAAGTCAGTAAGTTACCCAGACTGGGTTCAAACTTGCCATCCTTGCTCAGCTTCTCAGAGAGCTTGGATTACAGCTATGTGCCACCATGTCCAGCTTTTTGTTTTGTTTTGTGTGCTGGGGATGGAACCCAGGGCCTTGCTTGTGGTAGATAAGTGCTCTACCATGAAGATACACTCCCAGACCTGAATTAAAGGAATAACATTCAGGACCATGGGTGACTGGCTCTTCACCACAGCCTAGCATGACAATGGGCCAAAGTGAAAGCTTAACCAAGATTCACAGTGTGAACACGAGGGTCATCAAAAAGCACACGATGAGCCAGGCACGTACCTGTAATTCCAGCACTCAGGCGGCTGAGTGAGGCAGGAGGATAGCCTGGGCTACGTAAGATCAATCTAAACTACACAGCAAGACCCTGACTAAGCACAGCTTTGAACTAACCTTAGGGACTGTCCAAGTTCATCTCACCCAGGAAGCAGGTGAACCCAGGACCCAGGTGTTCCACCGAAGCCCCTCAGGAGTGGCGGCATCCTGGCAACTTACCTTGTAGCTCTTATCGCCATAGGTGCAGTTGCAGGACGAGGCATTGATGCACTGGATGGCACTGAGCAGAAATCCAGGATTGCAGACGAAGCCTGGCTGGCAGAGTGGCCCACAACTGGGATTGAGGGTCTCACAGGACACTGGGCACGCACAAGGCTCATAGTGGGCATTTGAGAGGCAGCTCACTGAGGAGAAGACACAGTCTTCATCAAGCCTCCACTCCCAAGCTGCTCCCAGGAGCCTTCCTGCCTTTGCCCCAGCCCTGAACTCCAGTTCCTCCCTAAGATGGCGGTGCACATGGCCCCGCCATAGAGAGGATGAGGTTCTGACAGAGCTACACTGTTATGGTATGGTTCTGAGGACATTGGCTCAGGGAGAAAGCCTGACACAAAGGCTCTCGTGTCATATGTGCAGGAAGCATTCAGGACAAGCAAATACAGGCTACAGAAAGATTAGGGTCACCAAGGCCTGGGAAGATGGAGGAATACAGTGACTGCTGAAGGAGAAGAGATTTGCTTTTGGGATGGTGAAAATATCTGGAATTAGAAAGTGATGATGGGCCAGACATGGTGGTGCACACTCGTAATCCCAGTACTCTGACAGGCTGAGGCAGGAAGATCACAAATTTGAGGCCCAGCCTGAGCAACTTAGTGACTTAGTAAGAGACTGTCTCAAAATAAAAAATTAACAAGGGCTGGGGATGTAGCTCAGTTGAAGGCCCTGGGTTCCACACCAAGAACCACCACCAAAAAAAAAAATTGATGATGATTATACAACCTTTGGAATACAGTTAAAACCACCAAATTATACGTTTTATTTTGTTTGTTTGTTTGTTTTGTTTTTGGTACCGGGGATTGAATTCGGGACCTTGCGCTTTCGAGGCAGGTGGCGGAACCACTGAGCTAAATCCCCAGCCCAAAGTTCAAACCTGTAGCTCAACTCTTTTTTTTTTTTTTTTTTGGTACCGGGGATCAAACTCTGGTCCTTGCTCTTGCGCAGCAGGCGGTGAAACCACTGAGCTAAATCCTCGGCCCTTGTACATTTTAAAAGGGCAAGGGGCCAGGCATGGTGGCACATGCCTGTAATTTCAGCACTTGGGAGGCTGAGACAGTAGAACTGCTGCGAGTTCAAGGCTATTCTGGACTACATAGTGAGTTCAAGGCCAGCCTGCACCACATAGTGAGAGCCTGTCTCAAACCCCCCCCCCCAAAAAAAAGAAGGATGAGGGCTTAGTGGTGCAGCTCAGTGACAAAGCATGTGCTTAGCATGATGTGAAACCCTAGATCCATCTCTAGCACACACACACAGTGGGAGGGAGCAAAGTATGTGGTAAATAAACTACATTTCAATTTTATTTTTTTTTGGTACCGGGGATCAAACTTGGGACCTTGCGCTTTTGAGGTAGGCACCAGAACCACTGAGCTAAATCCCTGGTCTTACATTTCAATTTTAAAACATAAGAAAAACAGGTGTGGACGCACACACCTGTAATCCCAGCACTCTGGGAGCATGAGGCAGGGGCGTGCAAGTTCAACCCCAGCCTGGACAACTCAGTGATTTATTGAGACTCTGTCTCAAAATAAAAAATAAAAAAGGGCTGGGGATGTAGCTCAGTGTGAAGTCCTTGTGTTCAATCCCCTGTACTGGAAGAAAAGACAGGTATGACGGGGAGCAGCTGTGCTTGGTTCCCACCGTCACCCTCTCCTGTCCTGCTGCCTCCAGCTCAGGTGAGGCCTGGCTCACTCTCCACTGAGACGACAGGATTCCTACTACAAGAGCCTTTCCCTTGTCTCAGCCCTGTGCCCAATACCCACCTCTCCTACCTGTGGTGGCTGGGGCACCGCTGGTCATGGAGGCAGTCGGAGCATCTGGAGGTGTCGCCATGGCTGTTGGCCCCAAGGGCAGAAGAGTGGAACTGGGACAAGAGGGTGTACAAGCTTCGGGCTTTTCAGTGAGGAGAGGGGATTTTTCTGTGGAGATGGGGGGCTCTTTGATGGGGACAATGGTCTCTTCAGCAGGGATGGTCGTCTCTTCAGTGGGGACAATAGGTCCTTCAGCTGAGATGGTGGGTTTTTCTATAGGGAGAGTGTTCTCCTCAGTGAGGACAGTGGGCTTTTCTATGGGGACAGTGGTCCCGTCAGTTGGTCTCTTCAGTCAGGATGGTGAGTTGTTCTGTGGAGACAGCAGGGTCTTTGGTGAGGATGGTAGGTCCTTCAGTGGGGCGGTGGTTTTTTCCATGGGGACAGTGATCTGGTCAGTGGGAATGGTGGTCTTTTCCAGGGGGAGGGTGGTCTCTCTGGCTGGGACAGTAGGTTTTTCTACAGGGGCAGTGGGTATCTCAGCGGGCACAGAGGGTTCTATGGGGACTGCAGGCTTTTCTGTGGAGACTATTGACTCTTGTATGGGGAAAGTGGTAGGAAGCACTGTTGGTATCGGTGCTGCAGAGAAAAACAAATCCTGGAGTTTGGTCAAAATCATCCCCCTTCATTCACATCAAATTGGGGTGGGTGGGCTTGGAGGGACGGGCAACTTAGTCACCTTTCCTTCAACTCTCAAACCCAACTGTCAATCACTTAACTGACACTCAACTAACGGTGCTCCCAATATATGCCTGATAGTGTGCTGGGCACAAGAAACATTAGAGCCACTAGGATGTCGGACGTGGTGGTGCTGGTAATCCCAGCACTTGGCTGGCTGAGGCAGGAGGATCAATGTGAGTTTGAGGCTGGTCTGAGCCACATAGAGGGTTCAAGCCCAGCAAGACCCTGTCTCAAAAAAGCAAAAAACGATATTTATCCTGCCTTTAGGACCGATAGTTAAGGGGTTCCAGATCCAGCCCCAGAAACTTATGGCATCAAAGACATGTTTACTAGTCAATTGTGATGGTCCACAGCTGTAATTCCAGCCCTCTGGGAGGCTGAGGCAGGACGACTACAAGTTTAAGCTCATTTTGGGCAATTGAGTAAGACCCTGTTTCAAAAATAAAAAAGGGCTGGGGATGTAGCTCAATGTAAAGGCCCTGCATTCAATCCTATAACACACACAGACACACACACACACACACATGCACGACATGTTTGCTCCAATAAGCACCCTGATGGTGCAGGAGAGGTGGAGGTGGACAGGATGTGGAAACCATGTCAGTTGTGTGGACCTCTAGGCAAGAGGATTTACTTTTTCTTCTCTTATGGGACTGAGGATTGAAACTAGAGCCTTTGCACTGAGCTATGTCCCCAGTCCTTTTTATTCGTTGATTTAAAAAAAATTTTTTTTTTAATTTTTTTAAATTTTGAAACAGGCTCGTACTAAGTTGATAAATTGCCCAGGCTGGGCTTGAATGTTTGATCCTCCTGCCTTAGCCTCCTGGATGGCTAAGATTTCAGGCCAGCCCAGGTGAGGGCTTGCATTTTACACAGGTCCTATAGAGATAGCCAAGGTGGTCACGTACGGTGTGACTCTTCCTGGGCTTAAGTGTCCTCCTCCCTCGACAAGTCTCTTGACTGATCAAGATGAAACCCACAGCGACCACAAAGGCAGCATTGCTACCGCGGATGGCCTCCAAGATCAGCTGAAAGCGACATGGGACAGAAAGGAAAATGAATCCCTGGCAACTCAGCAATCCGGCGGGCCCTGTCCCTCCCCAGTGTCACTCTGCAGGAATCTCACCAGTCCCAGCCACACCTGCCCCCTCCAGATCACCCCCACACTTACCTGCATGGGCTGCTGATGTCCCGAAGGGATGGTGACAGTGGCGTTCAGCCAGTTGGGCTTCTGCGACACAACGCGGTCCCATAGCAGGGTGGGAGTACTGCCCGCAGGGCCCCCGAGCAGGAGCCTGAGCGAGGTGCCTTCTCCGAGACTGTACATGTGATATGAGAACTCCAAGCAGACATTGCCTGGGGTGCAGAAGGGCCGGATCACCAGCCTCGTGGACCTATCAACCTGGGAGGACCTATCTACCTCCAGGTAGACACAGTGCTTGCCTGGGCAGGAGAGGGGGACAGGTGAGATGAGGCGCCACTGCCAGAGCCATGCCTGGCTTTCTACTTGGCATCTAAGCAAGCAACTGAGTGTCTCACCTGCTGCATCTTTCTCTGCCCATGTTGGACTTTTTGTTTGATTGAGGTACTAGAGATCGGACCTGGGTCCTTCACACTGAGCTACATCTCCAGTCCTTTTTTACTCTTTAATTTTGAGACAGGATCTGGCTAAGTCCCTGTTACTCAGGCTAGGCTTGAACTTGCTGTCTTCCTGCCTCAGCCTCCCTGAATGCTGGGATTACAGGTAGGCACTTAATGCCCGACTCCATGTTGAATTTCTACCTGAAAAGGGCAGGAAAGAAAGGGAAAACCAAACCTGCAACCCAGCAGCTGAAAATGTCTTGGCCAAAAATGGGACAATAGAGTTTGAAGTTTGGGGCTCCACAGAGTGGGAGGGCTGGACTGTCTTGAGCGAGAGCAGCGTTCAGTGATCCGTCGGCCACAAGCATCCTCGACTGAATCTACGTCGGCGTCCTCAGCCCAGCTCAGGGCAGTTTCCCAGCAAGCACTGGCCGGTGGCTGGCACCTCCCCCAACATCCTCCTCCACCCCGTGGCACCTGCCAATCCCCTTCCAAGGGGCCGGTGATGTGAGTGGACATATTTTCACTTCCCCAGGCCCAGCAGCTGCCATCCCCTGACACACGGGTCCAGTCACAGAACGGGTGGGTGCTGTCCTCAAAGTCTCACTGGGGAAAGCTCTCTGGTGGTGAGAAAGGGAAGTTGGAGAAACTCCAGCCCTGCTCTCCACTGCTCCTAACCCTCCACTTCTGAGGGGCCCCTCACTCTCACCCTCACAGGGAGCAATGCTGATTTCATCCACTGCCACTGCCAGCTCTGGGGTCTCGCCGAACACGCCCACCACGCTGAACTCCCAAGAAAGGGAATGGAAGCCCCCGCATGACCTTCCCATCTGGGACCTTCAATTCACTTCAACATCCGGGGAACCTGCCACGTGCAAGACCGACCCTTTGCTTCTCTGTACCTCTATCTGTCCTTGTCCAGTGTAATTGTCAGAAACACGCTGCCAGTTAGGCCCGGGTTGTCCCGAGAAGAGTGTGTGTTTCCGAATGCTGCCTACGGTGGGAAAAAAATGAGAGATACGGCCCAGTATAGTGGTGCATGCCTCTAATCCCAGCCCCCTGGGAGGCTGAGGCAGGAGGATAGTAAGTTTGAGCCCAGCCTGGGCAATTTTGCAACTTAATGAAACTCTGTCTCCAAAATTAAAAATAAACAAAAGGGTGCCAGGGATTTAGCTCAGTGGTTCTGCCACCTGCCTCGCAAGGGCAAGGACCCGAGTTCGATCCCCAGTACCAAAATAAATAAAATAAAATAAACAAAAGGACCAGGGATGTAGCCCAGGGTGAAGGCCTTAGGTTGAAATCCCAGCATCCAAAAAAACAAAAGGCTCAAAAGTGCAAGGTCCTGAGTTCAATCCCCGGTACCAAAAAAAACAAGGACAGACAAGTAAGTTTGAAGGGAGTGAGAAATTACTTTGAATCTGCACCCCAGGGGATGAGTCACAGAGGGAATACTTGGGCAATATTCCCTAATGGAAGTAATCCTCCTCTCTCACTCCCATGGTTCCTTTATTTTCCTATAGTCCAGTGCCTACCTCATTTCCACTCCCACACATCCCACATTCTGCTCCATCCTGAGGCTCACCCCTAGTCTCCATCACCCCAACCCCTGGAGATGCGGGCAGCTCAGCGCAAACCCAGAGACTTCTCCCCTCTAACTGGAAACTGAGGCGTAGACCAGGAGGGCTGTGCCCAGAGCCCAGCTCCACAGGATGTAATGGAAGGACAGCATCAGACAGACAGCCACGCGGCTCGGTGGACTCAGGAGGACCGACTTCTGCCCAGGCTTTGCATTCTTGGGGTCCAGGAGCATGTAGAAGCCTCCTGTAAAAGGAAAGACCTGGGAGGTGGGAAGGATCCAGGGTTAGGGCCCCAGGAGGATGGGGACCTGGCCCATTCAGGTAGCACCAAGGTGGGGCTATATCCACATCACCACTAGCTGAGCCTTCAACCCTCAAGGGCTAACTGGACTGGGTGAGGGGGTGGGCACTGCCACAGGAAGCTGGGCATCCTTTTAGAAGCAGCACCCAGACTCTTGTCCCTTGCTGGTCCTTGCTGTACCTCAAGGCTCTCCTTCCCCCATAGCCCTGCTACTACCTCAGGGCCTTTGCACGGTTGGCCTTCGGGACAGGGTCTTGCTATGTAGTTCAGGCTGGCCTGGAACTTGCAGTGATCCTCCTGCCTTATACTCTGGAAGGCTGGGATTACAGATGTGTGCCGCCATGCCTGTTTTGGAGACTAATTCTCAAGTGTCCAGGACACTACCTGGCACACTGTAGATACAGGATGAAGGTGTGGAGAACAGACAGTGCCAGGAAAGAGAAGGGAGGAGCAGTTTGGGTTGGATCTGCCAAGCAACAATGGTCGGGTGGCAGTTTGGGGGACCCAGGGTGAGGGTGTTTGGGATTTACTTCCTGCCATGAAACCTGAGCTAAGAGAGGCTGAGGGTTCTGGGGTTCACTAGCCTGGTCCAAGGCAGCTGCTGTGACACATACTGGGGTCCCTGAAGGATGGAAGCGCGTCAGTACCCACTACCAGGGCTGGAGAAGTCGTTGTTGGGCCTCACGCCTGGCTGCCCTGATGAGACCTTCCATGGGCTCCACTTGGCCCCAGAGGCAGTGGGGACCCAGCTCCAGCCACAGAGATCATCTAGGGTATTAAAGCTGCAGGTTTGCATCACGTAGACTGAGGGAAGCAAGGAAGGAAAGGACCATGCGACTTTCTCTGAGAGGGGGCAGCCCAGGAAAGGACAGCCAGGCTGGAGTACTAAGCCCGAGTTCCAGCTTCCGACCTGAGCTGAGCCACGGCACGCTTTGGGGCCAGAAGTGGCCCCGCTGCCTACCAGCTGTGTCCCTGACACCTGCTCCTTACTCTGTTCAAGCTTCCGTTTCCTCCTCTATCAACTGGGCACAACAGTGCCTGGCATGTGGAACTGTAAATCAGGTCCTGAGTGTGGAGAACCCAGCCTGCTGCCTATGCTCAATGAGTCTGGTCCCCTTCACCCAGCTCCCAGAATTTTCCTTCCTGTGAATTTGCACCTCTTGAATCCATAATGTCAGCCTGGAGAGCTTGGTCTGGACGGGCTAGGGGAGCCGTAACGGCAAGAGTGACCTCAAAACCAGGTTTTCCTGGAACGGAGGTCTTCCTCAGATGTGAGATTCTCTCTTTTTTCCTTTTTTTGGGGGGGTGGTGGTGGTACTGGGGATTGAACCCAGGACCTTCGCACTAAGGTACATCCCCAGTCCTCCCTCCCTCCTTCTCTCTCTCTCTCTCTCTCAACTTTGAGACAGGTTCTCGCTAAACTCCCAGGTAAGACTCAAACTTGCAATCCTCCTTTCTCAGCCTCCCAAGTGCTGGGTTTACAGGCCTGTGCCACCATGCCCGACCTGACTAGGACTTTTTATGCTAAGACAGAGATGGCCCAGGGACAGCCAGGCTGGCTGGTCCCTCCAGACCAGGTGTCCGCACAGCTCTTCTTGGGGTGAGGCTGCTTCCGGGGTCACAGGGGTGGGGCAGAAAGGGCCAGCAGCCTCCACTCTGGTGGCTGGGGCAGCTCTGCAGGGGATCAGGGAGAGACAGCACACAAGGCAGGGAGGGACAGGGACTCACCCCGATGGCAGGTACCCAGATGGATGGACAGGGCATCCAGAGAGATGTCTACGTAGGTCGTGCTGCCCCTCACTCCCTCAAATATCAGCTGTGGGATGGGGACAAGGGGATTCCCGGCCCTGTGAGGCCACAGCTTTGTCCCTGTGCCTCTGCTCCCTGAGGTCAGGTACACCCCCCCACCATGGACCCCCGACCCCCAGCTTCCCACCTGGCTGGGGAGGGTGAGGTCCGCGGGGATGGTGACACTGGTGGGCATCCAGGAGGGGCTGTGGGTGTTCTCGACTTTCCAGAGGTCTTTGCTCTGAGCTACATCCTCAGCCCTTTTTATTGATTTACTTGCTTTTTTCCTTTTTTTTTTTTTGCTTACTTTTATTTTGAAAGTCTTGCCAAGTGACCTAGGCTGGGCCAGAAGTTCCCATCCTCCTGCCTCAGCCTCCCAGGACTGTGCTTCTCTGCCATTCTCTCTGCCCTCTGTTGCCCAAGGGCTGTCCTTTGCACATTCATTCCTTGTTTATATCGTCACCCTGCCCTGAGGGCACCTACAAGGCCACCCCTGGGCTAAGGGCCTGGGATTGGGTGCCAGAACAGGGGTCCTGAGAAGGGAGAGGTGGCCCGAGCAGGCCTGGTTCCAACTCACAATTGTCCTTGGAGTTCGGAGCAACCGATTCCCAGTCCAGCAGCATCTGTGTACTTGGGTCTGGCCTGGAAAAAAGCAAAAATGGGGGCCGGGGATGTAGCTCAGTGGTTTCACTGCCTGCTGCGCAAGTGCAAGGACCTGAGTTCGATCCCGGTACCAAAAAAAAGCAAAAATGTCACTCTTGTCACTATCAAGAATTCTAAAATGTGATCGTGAACCTTCAAGAGCCCACTTACCGGTGATTTTTCCTTTGTTCTCCTCCTCATCAGTGTTTGAGCAGTAAATGTAAGCTACCTGTCTTCCAGGGTTTGGAGAAGGCCATCCACAGCCTTCTCACCTCATGTTCTTACTGATTTCCTAAAACATGTCCCCTCCCTGATACCTCTGTCCCTGAGGCTCCCTCCCCCAGATGTCCCACCTGCTGTAACTCAGACCAGGTGGCCCCAGTTCCCTGTGAATTCTGTGAATGGGAATTCTCATTTGCTGCCTCAGTTTCCACTCCAGGGGTCTCTGTCCTTCGAGTTGAGGTCTTCTCCTTTGTAGTCCAAGCTTTCACCCATACTGCAGGGACTTTACGGTCCCAGTTGTCAGCTGGTGGGGGGTGTGCTGTTTCCCTGCCACACTGAACCCCACAAGGAAGATGGCCTCAACCCTGCAGACTTCACAGAGAAGCCCTTGCCTGCCTGGCCAGTGAGGGCCACACAGAGCAGCGCTTTATTTTTGTTGTTGTTCAAATTCTACTTGTTCAAATCTTCTCCACCCAGGCTCCAGGTGACAAAGCCGTCCGTCATTTGGGGAGTTGTTTTTGTTTGTTTTTGTAGTACTGGGATTAAACTCAGGGCCTTTGCACTGAGCTACATCCCCAGCCCCTTTTATTTTTCATTTTGAGACAGAGTCTCAATAAGTTACCAAGTTGCCCAGGCCGGGTTGGAACTTTCGATCCTCCTACCTCCACCTCCCAGAGTGCTGGGATCACAGGTGTGTGCCACCACGCCTGGCTTCATTGGTCATTTCTTGCTGCCTCCTGCTTGAAGTCTCACCTTGTGGAGGGCTGGACCTCTGTCCTCCAGCCCACCTCTGCACCTCGGTTCTCCCCAGTTGCAGGCCTGGGGCTGTGTAGCATTCCCCCCTATAGCTTGTCAGCCTCCCCTGCCCATCAGGCTCCCACCTCCCTCCCCAGGTCTCTGTGCTTTTCCTCAGCCTGCCTGTGCCCTCTGCCCTTGTCAGAGCCACCCCTAGCCGCCCCTGGTTCTCAGCTTACCTGACAGGAGCAGACCCGTGGCCCTGGTCCCAGCCAGCTCCCACCAGCAGCACCAGAATCCAAACTGGAAAAGCCATGAGGGACTTCAGAGACTGCCCTTGGGGAGGAAGGAAGGCACAGTGAGGAGCCTGCGCCACCCTTTTCTATCCAGTACTGGGGATTGAACCCAGGGCCTTCGCAATAAGCTACCATCCCAGCACTTTTTATTTTTTATTTCAGGAATTTTGCTAAGTCACTAAGTTGTCCAGGCTGTGCTGGAACTTATAAATCTACCTGTCTCAGCCTCCCAGAGTGCTGGGAAGAAATTATCATTATCATTATTACTATTTTGTGGTACTGGGAACGAACTTGGGACCTTGTGCTTGCGACGCAGGTGGCAGAACCACTGAGCTAAATCCCCGGCCCCAAATTATTATTTTTGTTTCTTTGTTTTGAGACAAGGTCTCACTTTGTAATTCAGCCTAGCCTTGAACTCACTATGTAGCCCAGGCTGCCCTCAAACTCACAGGAATCCTCTGCCTCAGCCTCCCAAGTGCTGAGATTACAGGCCCGTGCCACCACGCCCAGCAAGAAATTATTTTAAAAGAGAAAAACACACAAGAAACCATCCCAGACCCAAAATACTCAAGTATGATGCCTGCAGAGATGTGTGGGAGGCCCCTCGGGAAATTTGAGACTATCAGGGGTGAGGGGAGGATCCAAAGCCCTCGCGAGGCAAATCAGCAAGGCATCCAGCTTTCCAAGGGCAACCACGGATTCCGAGAGGCGGCGGAACACTGCCTGCAGGATTCCGGCAGACAATCCTTTCAATCCCAAACTTCTAGGAAGGGCAATAGTAACTGGCGGGCCAAGCAGAGAAAGCGCTGAACACAGCTGTGGGCAAAGAATTGCAGGAGAGGGGCCGGGGATTTAGCTCAGCGGTTTCGCTGCCTGCTGCGCAAGCGCAAGGACCAGAGTTCGATCCCCAGTACCAAAAAAAAAAAAAAAGAATTGCAGGAGACAGTCACTGAGGACTGAAAAGAGGTTCTACTTCCAGAGTGAGCATCGAAATACTCACATAACTCGGACGTCGTAAAAATCTCTTGCTTCTGTCCCTGGAGAATAAAGGTTGGCTGGAAGTTAAAACAAAAACCTGCATCATATTGACAAAAATGTAAAATATTAAGAGTTGGACAGCATGAAGATAGACACAGTCAAGTACTCTGATGGTAAAAAGTGTCTGTTGGACCCTCTGGGAGGCTGAGGCAGGAGGATGGCAAGTTTGAGCTCAGCATGAACAATGTGACGACTTAGACAATTAGTGAGAGCCTGTATCAAAATAAAAAGTAAGAAAAGGACTGGGGATGTAGCTTTGTGCAGAGGCCCTAGGCTCAATCCTCAGTACTGTAGGAAGGAAGGGAGGGAGGGAAAAAGTATGTGCTGCATGCTGGGTGAGGTGGTGGATGCCTGTTGTTTCAGTCGCTGTGAAAGCTGAGGCAGGAGGATGACAAACTTGAGGCCAGCCTGGGCCACATAACCAGAACTTGTCTTCAAACAAAACAAAACAAAAAAAGTATGGTGGAAAGCTATTTGACACTGTTACGTATGTTTTTCTTTTTCTTTTCTTTCTTTTTTTTTGATTTTTGAGACAGGATGTCTCTGTGTAGTTCAGGCTGGCCTTGAACTCACTATGGAACCCAGGCTGGCCTCAAACTTTCAGTACTCCTCCTGCCTCAGCCTCCCAAGTGCTAGGCTGGGGCCGGGGATTTAGCTCAGTGGTTCTGCCACCTGCCTCGAAAGCATAAGGTCTTGAGTTCAATCTGGTACCAAACAAAAAAACAAAAAAGACACAACCAAGTGCTTTAATTACAAAAGCAAGAAATAATAAAGCTCTGTAAACAAAAAAATAAAAAAGATGACTTGACAATAGCTATTGCATTTCTAATGTCCTTATTTTAATTTTTCTTTTTCATTCTTTTCTTTCTTTTCTTTTTTTTTTTTTGGTACCAGGGATCGAACTCGGGTCCTTGAGCTTGCTCAGCAGGCGGGGAAACCGATGAGCTAAATCCCCAGCCTCTTCATTCTTTTCTTGAGATGTGGTGTCACTATGTTGTTCAGACTGCCCCTGGACTCCTGAGGTCAAGTAATCCTCCTGCCTCAGCCTCCCTTGTAGCTGGGGTTACCTGCACACATCAACACACTGGACAAATGTGTACATCAATGACCCAACATCCCTTTCCTAGGACTCTTCCCACAGGATCACGTGTACATTTGTGCAAATGATACCCACCTTAAAGGTGTTAGTTGTGGTATTGTTTACAGTAGGAAAAAAGTCTTTGAGAGGACTTTAATGTTTGTTAGTAGACATGTGGTTAGTTTGTAGTAAGAAATATAATACAAGTGCTCCTCAAAAAATTAAAACTAGAATTATCATATATATTAGTCAGCTTTTGTGTTTCTGGAACAAAATACTGACACATAACTTCAAGGAAGAAATGATTTATTTTGGCTCATGGTTTTGGAGTCCAGCCCATGGTGGGGCTGGCTCCAAGGCAGAAACATCAGGGCAGAAGGGCAGGGTGGAGGAAAGCTGCTCAGTTCCTGGCAGCTGGGAGGCAGAGAGGAGGGGAAAAGCCAGAGAGGGAGAGGACAGGCACCAGATTTTGTCCCCCAAGGTCACACCCCATGATCCTCCCAGACACACCTGCTTGCCAGTCTCCCAGGCATCTCTCAAACTAACCAGGTTGACAGTCAGGATTAACCATCCCACCGTAAAACCCAGCATTCTACTTCTGGGTATATGGCCAAAAGATTGAAGACAAGATCTGAAACAGGTGTTTGTACATGTGTGCTTTTAGTCCTAACAGCCATGAGGTGGAAAAAACCCGGGGGGCCAACCAGCTAGTGAATGAGTAATCCACACAAATACATATATGCACATACAATCAAGTAGTATTAGCCTGTAAAAGGAAGGATGAGCTGAGCGGGTAGCTCAGTGGTAGAATGCTGGCCTAAAATACACGGGCCCTGGGCTTGATCCTCAACAAAGCCAAAAAAAAAAAAAAAGGAAGGAAGGAAATTCTGACACAGGCTATAATGCTGTGCTGAGGCAGGAGGATCTCAAGTTCAAGCCCAGCCTGGGGAACTTGGTGAGTCTCTGTCTCAAATATTTAAAAAAGTGAGGGGGCTGTGTATGTAGCTCAGTCCAAAGGGCCTGGATTCAATTTCCAGTGCTTCCCCCCACCAAAAAAAATAACAGCAGTCACCAGGAGCCAGGAAGGGAGGGAATAAGATGGTGCTGTTTAACACAGTACAGAGATTGTTTTGCAAGATGGAAGAGTTCTGAACTTTAGGGGTATAACTCAGTGACAGAGGATGTACTTAGCTTGCCGAGGCCCTGGGGTGTGAC